TCTCGAGATAGTTTCAAACAATTCCGAACTACTGTCAGAAACCTTCCACTCGCAAATCAAACTTCAAAACTATTCACACACTATACAGGCTGTTCTAAAAATGTTACAACCAAATTTGAGAGGCATATAGTGCTCGTCGAAACAAATTGAAAAATCGAAAAAGTTACAAAAAGCTTTTCTTTTTACTGAAAGCATTTTTTAATAATTTTTTAAACAAGAACTGTACACGAGAAGGAAATAAAAATTTTTCTATCCTCCGAAATGAAGTTCCAAAATCGAAACCACTTTCACCACTCAAAATGCTCCCTGTTTCCCCAATTTTCTCCCTCGAAACACATATTTCCACGTGTCGGCGTAAAGTGCATAACGCAGATACGCGTGGACGACAGTTTTCCGATCCGCGGAGACGTCATCGGCTCGGCTGGCGGTGCAATCAACAGGTGGTTGCACCAACCGCGATGCAGTGACCCGCGAGTGCGCGCGTGTGCGTGGCGGAGCGCGCGCGACTCCAGTCGAGAGCCGCGCTTATCGAAAGTTCTCACTGGCTCGTGATACCCGCATATACGCGCGCTCGTTACGAGAGTGCCTCTCGTCGGCGCACACGCTCTCCACCTACAGCCATCCGCCTGAATGGCTGGCCGCGGATAATGTACAGGGTGGTCCACGTAACAAGAGATCCTCGTTAAACTTTCGTCACGTCCAATCGTTCGATATACATTGTACAAATACAACACGTGTAACCGGCCGTCTTTTTTCTTTCTTTCTCTCTTTCTTTAACACACCACTTCTCGAGCTACTTTGTAAGCAGGATTTCTCATTCGACCAGGGTCAAGTCTGAGGTTCTCCAATTATTTGCATGCGAGAAACGCAACTGTGCAGGGTATGATCTTTAAAATTCCACGTGCAGGCCGTGGAATGCCAAGATCGATAGGTTGAGCAGGTGATGGGGCTTTGATAAGTCGGCTGGCTTTGATACCAACAGGTGGATTCCTCGGGAGACTTCAGTTACATTTTGCGGTGCGTCAGTTGGGAAAAGTGGATAATGGATTGGCTTCAGCACCGTTCCGAATATAATGCTCCATTAACACCAGACTTTCAAACTTTCCAACCATTCTTAATTCCATCGATTCTTCTTTTAAATCCTTTTACAAAAATCCGCCAACTATCGCACAATTTCTATAAAAAGAACTGTGCCACATCTGCTAGGAAACCATCCAGCTAGCAAAAAAGAAAAGGAAAAGGACTAAGAAGTTCTTGTAGGTGAAAGATCGCGTCACGTGTCTGCGACAGAGGCAGCTTTTAACCCGTCCACGATTAAAAAGCGTCGCGTGGGAGCGGAGAGCACGTTTTTCGCGTGTACCAGAGGCCAGAAATAGCCGACACTTCGCCCGTAGGCAGAAAATAATCCCAGTGGAAGCGAGGAAGAACGCGAGCGCCGGTAAACATCCGCCGGAAGGAAAAAGCGCGATCCTCGACGAAATTCAACGACGCGTGGCTACTTTAGCTAAAGAGGAAAGAACGTCTCGAGAGAGAGAGAGAGAGAGAGCAAGAGAGATGGGTCGTCTCTCGCGGTTGCATCGAGCCTGCTAACGAGTGAAACTAGGTGAAAGTAAGGAGAAGCGTGGCTGCATACATATATACACACGTTATGCTCATATGCAGTCCCGTCTGTTGCTGGAGAAGGGCTCGATTTACGCTCGAATCGCAAAGGAGGAGCAAGCAGCAGCGGCAAGTAACGCCGCCGTGTGTGCCTCTTTTCGATCCCTTTCTTGCTCGTCCAGCGAAACGAGCCGCGTTCTCGCGTGGCCGTTTCATTTTCTTACGACCTCCAATTAACATAAATTAGTCTGGAGGCCTTTTTACGTCCGCGTACCACTTTCTCATATTCGAGAATCGGCCGAGAGAGTCCTCCAACATCGGGCCCCGTGTGTCCTTACGACTTCCCATCGAGGAAATACACCGTGTTCTCCTTCTTTTTTCCCTCGTATTTTCGTCCTTCCTTCTTTCTTTTTTTCCAACCTCGTCGCTTCGTTTCGCTACCGCGTGGCGTCTTGCTGTGCTTGTTAATTCCTTTCGAAGCGCCGCGTGGGCTAAATTTAATCGAGGAGAGCGGCCGTGCATTATGCGAGTCGAGACACACCAGAATTCGTGAAAATTTTCCATTGAAAGGTGATCGTTCAAGTCACTGACTTTTCTGTATAAATTTCTCGGAGAAGAAACCTTGAATTTAGAGAAGGTTTATTACACCCTTTTACGCGACAAGAATTTTAATTTCCTCGCTTTTTTCTCAACGTAGCATTCGTAAGAATAGAATGTTGCGAGAGAACGTAGGATAAGTTTCAAAGTCGGGAGAAAAAGTTTCTTCTCGTTCCTCGATGTGTGTGCGCTCGTGTGTTTAATCGAGGAGGGACGATCGGAATATTACTCGAAGAGGTGGGAACCGAGATATGTGGCCCGAGCGACGAATTCGATTCGTTCCAATGTGCTACTTCGAGCTGAGTGGCGAATTCCACGGAAACGACTGGTCTCAGGACGATTCCAGACGATTAACGAGGCGTGCAGGCAGACGGGTAGACCGATCGGCCGGTTTAAAAATAGGCGCGGATCCGTGACATGTGTTTTTATAAATTGCCGCAGGCGGACGCGCCGCTCATTTTCAACGGCGGCGCTCGCTTCCTGATCGTTCCTTCCATAAATAACCTTCGATCCTCCACTTTTTTCACGCCAATTCCACTCTTCCAAAAATGCCCCGGTGACGTCATGGCGCCACCCAACTGCCACGTCACACATTATCCTCGCATTTATCTTTCTCCGTCGATTTTTCAATCGCAACTCCGCGGCTATCTTCCTGTTTAACAGTATGTTGTTTCGAACGGAACGACGAAACAAGGTGTTTTTTCCCTCTTCTTCTTGTGTGACGGGATTCGTAGCAAAAAGATCCTCGCGCTGTTTCCTCGATCGTGTTGCGCAACAAATTCCTCATCTACCCTGTCCGAGAACTTTGATCACAGATGGTTGGACGACATTGGACGGAATTGGTAAATTACGAATACAGGAATGTTTTTTTGCTTCTGTTTTTTTAATTATAATTGACATTCCTCTCAGTAGGAGTATTCTCTGTTATCAGATAGGAACGGTGGATCTGAGACACGTTCGAGCGTTGATCAGAGCTCGCGTGAGCGTGAAAACAGGTCATCCGCTATGTAACGAGACTGAAAACGTTCGTGGTGTTATTCCGTGGAAAAGCGCATTCCACTGGCGGCACGATTTAACGACACAGGACCGGCTATTCATCATCCACGCGCAGGTATTCTAATTGGGATCAGAGGTCTAATCTTACGAGCGTTTCAGCCCGGAATAGCACAGAGTCAAGGTGAATTCGAGCTGGTCGTGCACACACACTCTAAACTAGTGAAGAACAAGACCGCGATAGAGAGGAATATATAGAGTCTCTGAAGAGAATCGAAGAAGAGACGGTGGTGTCTGTCTTTATAAAACATACATTGAATCGAATGCAACCGGTGCTTTTGTGTCCATACAAATCGGGTCTAACCGGTTCGATTCGGTTCGCCTGGTGATCGATGCGTTTCTAGATCCTGTTCGTAGGCGACTCAGACCTAGGTTAATCTACGGTTTAAGATATCTCTGGCTGGCGATAACTCCCGGCCCAAGATAGCTCCAGATAGCCATAGTTCAAGGCTTAACCTAGGACTAAACTCCAACTATAAACTAAACTACAGACCGACTTACCAAAGGCTTCAATACGAGAATCTGTAGGAACGAAGAAAACGAGCAATTCGAATTCCCATTAACCACCGAGCACAGATTGAACGTAACTTAAATCTAATGCAATTGGATCGATCAATCTAGTTCCATCTAATTTCCATTGGTTTCCTCCTTTGAATTTCAACCCAGAACCAATCTGATTCGACGTGCTGGAATAGGTACATCCTTTCTGTTCCTCGACAGAGAGAGAGAGAGAGAGAGAGAGAGATAAGAAGAAAGAGGACAGAGATAGATAGATAGAGCTAAAGGGATATGGTTGGGATGCTAATTTTTCAGCCTCTTCGATCGAAGCCCTGAAGCGTAGCCATCGCGTGTTCCTTTAACGTACACACGAAAGGCACCGAAACGCACACAACTGCGTTCTCCGCGCGCGGAAGCAGCCCGTAATTATATTGTCACGCCGCGGGTGTTCAATTTGTCGGCACACATCCGCCTCCCCCGCGTGCTCGCTAACCACCTCCGCCTCTTCGACAACCTCGACGCTACCTTCGCCGCCCCTGCAGCCACCCTAACTCCCATCTCTCGCTCTCCGTTCGTTCTCACGCCCGATCGGAGAAACCTTGCAAAAAGGTTAGCTCGGGGGCGAACAGAGTCGCGTGACATTAGAGGGATTCTGTGGATAATTATGGAACGGCTGTTGCTATTCCTGGTGGCGTAGGATCATCGGTTAGACCAGTGGTTTCAACGGATCAATGGACCACAAGTGTTTTTCTTCGGAGAGCGATGATTGTGTGGGTAGAATGGGGCTTTCTAGAATGGGGTAGAATAGTCGGGTTTTCCTAACATTCCAATACACCGAATATCAGAAGGATTTCACACTCCGAAATTCAAACCTCGGATATTCGAATTATCCCAATTATTCGACACAAGAATTTTCGGTAGAATAATAATTCCGACGAATTCCCCAGACTTTGACCATTTTTTTACCGCCACGAAACTCGAAGCAAAGTTCCACCATTGGTGTAAAATATCGCGCGTATCATCCGGTATAATTAATTCATAAAGCTATCTACGACGAAACTCTCCAACTCGACGTTCGAGTATTTCTCCAACGTACAGACAGGAGAAAAACAGAGTTATTAAAACGTATAAAGGTCTAGATGAAGACCAACCACCGTTCACCAATGAATGGTACCGCGGCAATCTAGTTTCGCCTAGACAAAGTACGCCATAGTAAACGTCCGTCTTAAACAGCGTTCTCTCTAAGTACTTACATAACTAATCATGGGTATGTTGCGGGACTGAGCGACTATGGCTTCAACGTAGCACGAGCCTTCTGGTCCAAAGAAGGCAGCAACCCCGTCGCAGATCATATCGATCATTGCCTTGGTGGCTTCCACCGTTTCTCCCCTTGTGTCGCTCCATCGCATCACCAGCTTTACGTTCGGTAATATATTTGGATCATTGTTGATCTGTAACAAAGAAAAAAGAAAAAGGTCACTTTAATCGTCTTTCTATCGAATCGTTCAATTATCCAACGTCTCCTCAGACAGATACGTCGCGAAATTATATCGTCGTTTCGCGTAATCATCGGGAACGTTGCGCAATCCATTACGTGGCTATTCCTCTCATCTTTCGTCATACGATATCGAATCACAATAATTGAACGATGTCACGAGATCCACGCCTAGCGAACCGTAGGTTAGCAATACTCGGCTGAGTTTAATTGTTTCCAGTAATACAAGCCCCCCCGTCGCCAGCTAGGTTTAATAGAGCTAATCGTGTTACCATAACTTCTGCCGTGAATATTCCCCGCTCTTGTTCCCGACGATGACGAACAGCCTTCTGACGCACGGTGTGTATAAATCATCAGGAAATGAATTTTACTCCGAAGAGAGACTCCGAAGGTTGGACAAATACATTTCGTGTGTTTCGGGTATTTAGAGCATTTGAGAAAATCGTATCGGTATCGGTGGTTTAGAATGTAACCGGTGTATATGAATGAATTTCCTACGAGTGGCAACGACGAGTTCACTTTCCATGGTATTTCTTTCTATTCTACGTTCGCGTCGGAATAAATATCTGCCCGGCAGGAACGTCGATTAAAGTTCAATTCGTAATGTTACCCGCGCGATGTGTCCCGGTTCTTCGCGAGCATTCCTCCGACTCTCTCGCGTATCCGGCTCGCGTTTGCACATCATACAAGAGGCGGCGAGTAAGCGAGCTCGGTTATTATGCAAATCTGAATTCCAACAAACAATACTTTTCCAAGTAGCCGGGGACCACGACGTCGCCGTCAATTTGCATGCTTGCTGGATGTGAATTGGAATTATTAACGATAGTAGCAGACTGAACTTTTCTCACCCTTGCATGGGCCAATACTTTTGCCGGCTGCAGGGGATGAAGAAGGTCGAATGTTTATTGCGAAAAACAATGTCGTAATCCTCCACGTTCATAACTGTTGAAGCAAAATGGTTTATGAGTACTGCATGAAAAATCGACAAATATGGTTTGGGGATGCCTGCGAACACCCCAGGTATAAAAGTGCACACTGTCACCACGCTCCGTATGTGAACATCTTCTAAAATATAATTATTTACCTAGCTTACTCCACCCGATTTATTTATTCAATACTGTGGAATTGGTTTAATAATAAGATGTGAGTGATGGCGTGAATGTAGTGAATATATCGAATGCTCTCGAGATTTGGTAAACGAGGGGATCATACAGGGTAACTGGGTGTAAAACAGGTGAAGCGCGTTGCTATTGATATCGGAGAGTACGTGAGAATTTATTGCGAGATACAATGAGAGAGCGTTGATCAAATTATCTTTATTTCTTTTTACGTGTGTATATAGTTACTGTTGTTATAAAATATATTCCTATTTAACTCATTATAAAGTGTTATACAACCACAAATACAACCCCTCAACAATAAGTTCAACAAAGTTTGATTCGATTATTTGCACTCACAAAAATTCCCAAATTTTTCTCCTATTCTTTTTTCACATTTTAACCCTTCAATTCTAGCGACGCCTGAGAAGAGACACTTGGTGAATAATTAATAGAGGCACTCTTCGAGCTGATATTTCCAAGACAGCATCTCTGCGGACCTCCATAAATTGTACGCCATGTGCTAGAGATATAACAAGGGAAGATATTTCCATGAACTTTATGTGGAAGACACTTCTCGGGAAAATATTCGACACGTAGTTTATTTTATCGCCAATCTTCCATATCGGAGGCGTAACAACAGCTCTCGAAGTTTGGGGTGAAGACGTATTTTCTGGAATATCTCGAGAAACGAGGGTCCAGGAAAATCGTTGCAAAAAATGAAATTGTGTGAAAGAACCAACCCCTAACAAAACCAACCACTACGAAATCTCGTATAATATAAAATGAACGATGCACAAATATCGACCGATTCTATTTGAATTTTACTCAACAAAGAATCTCCGGATTCGCTTCGCGTTCCTTTCGATCACAGCGAAGCAACAATTACATTGTTCTCTCGATTTCCAGATCAAACAACACATCGCAGAGAGTAGCTGACAGAAGTCGATGTCTTAATTATGCTCACGCATCCCGCGGCATTGTTCCCGGAACGCGACACGATCAATTGCTAGCGCACGCACACATCAACGATTACGCAACAGGCGGAGATAGAGAGAGAAGCCGCCGCCCGATGAAATTAGAAAATCCGACGACTATTTCGCAAGCTGAAACGCGAGAAGATTCTGTAGCTACAGTTCGAAACCCAGAGGAACCGTTAGAGCGGTTTCCAAGCGGCGCTATAAAAAATCATCGCTCTTCCCGTTCGATGGTTCGCATTCCTGATTTCGCACCTGCCCCAGGTAACCGAAATCGCCCGGTGGAATGCGAACAATAATGTCCCGTCTTCTTCTCGCCGTTTCTCAACCATCCCCCGGTGAAAGTTCCAGCCTGCTCCCTTTCCTTCGATTATACTTCTCGATGCACGAGAAATTGCGTGCGTTTATCTTTGAGAATTCTTTTTTAATAAAATAATGAAATTAAAGGGAAATTAATTAGATTCCGAGGGAAGCTGAGGTGACTAGAAATCTTCGTGGTTTTTCAGAATGCAAGAATAGCAAAGAGCAAATACAGGGAATTTATCTGCGACTCTTTTTTTCAATAAAGAAACAAAATTAAAAGAAAATGAATTAGATTTCGAGAGAAACTGAGATTTTTTAAAATGCACGATTGAAGAGCGGAGACAGGGAATTTATCTCTGCGATTCCTTTTTAATATAATAATAAGATAAAAATAAAATTGATTAGATTTCCGCAGAAGCTGAAGAGATTCGAGTGGTTTTTGAAAATGCGCGCTTCAAGAGCGGAGACAGGGAACTTACCTTGGCGATTTTTTTAAATGAAAAAATTGAATTAATGAAATTTCCAGAGAAGCCGAGGAGACCTGAAATCTCCGTGGCTTTTCAAAATGCAAGAACACCGAACGCAGGGAGGAAGGGCTGAAGGTTCGTTCGGAATTCATTTGAAAAATGCAAGATCGCGGAGGCAAGGGCCGATTTCTCCGGAGAGCTGTGACCGAGAGCGTGAAACAATGTTCACAGCCGAGTGTGTTCACTTGCGCTGTCGCCACTGGCAGGGTTTCACCAATCAGCTTATTTTCGAGTAATTGAAGGGCGTCCGGTCGTGTACAGCCTTCCACCAACCTTCAGGGACGATGAGAACGACTTTGCCACGATTCGTTACGTCCACAAAGAGAAAGATGTCGAGAGGAGAAGATGAGAGAAAAAGAAACGAGAAAGACTCTCTCGATCGACGATATTGCACACAGTTGCAAATCACCATTAATTTGAATACTCGTAAAAGTCGCCTGATTTTGACTAAATCCTAAACGTTTCGAATTCCCAAACTCTAAAAACGCTGTAAGAAATTTTTCAAAAAAATTTGTCACTTCTTACCGTTCCGATAATTTCAATTTCGTCAATGGAAGGTCTGCAAGGTTTGCAAGAGGTAAAAAAGACACGTTAGGTCAAGAGGACCACGCAGAGAGAATCAGCGTGCCACGAGCGATCCACCTTAACCGTTTGAGTGCCGATCGCGCTTCTTCTATCCTGTCCTAAAAGCGCCAGCGCTCTAGGCTGCGAAGCCCATAATCACAGAGGGGTCGATTTTTTTCGATGAACGACTTTACGGTTACCCTTGAGTCTTAAGTAGAAGAAGATAAAATTAACATTAATATTTATTACATGTAAGCTGAAAACAGCGCAATCGCGCTCTTTGGCACTTTTGGACGCGGAATATGACGAGCGCTGTCGCGCTCTTTGGCACTTTTGGACGCGGAATATGACGAGCGCTGTCGCGCTCTTTGGCACTTTTGGACGCGGAATATGACGAGCGCTGCCGCGCTCTTTGGCACTTTTGGACGCGGAATATGACGAGCGCTGTCGCGCTCTTTGGCACTTTCGGACGCGGAATATGACGAGCGCTGTTGCGCTCTTTGGCACTTTTGGACGCGGAATATGACGAGCGCTGCCGCGCTCTTTGGCACTTTTGGACGCGGAATATGACGAGCGCTGTCACGCAGCTTGGCAATTTTCGATCGGGAAATAAGAAAGGCTCGTGGCACTCAAACGGTTAACGGCAAAAATACCTCTAGGAATAATTTAATCGACCCAACACCACGACCACGCGAATTCACCCGTTTCAGCGTGATCTCGTTCCGTATTTACAAATATTGTTATACCACCGTGGAACTAGTTTACATCGTGGGAGTGCGTCATAGCGAATTCCAGGATTTATTTTTTCTTTTTACCTACGCGAGTATCGCCGGCAGCGAGAGCTGGACAAGGTGCACCTGCGCACACTATTGAAGCGAGCGGACAGGTTAAGCGTTAAGCTCGATTCACGTGCACGCGCGACTTTCCTTCGACGAACACGGGTGTGGATAAGCCGGAGGAAGAGAGACGAAAGTGGTCGAGTTAATTGAAAGATCGACGAAACAGTAGATATTCTAAATTTCGTTTTTACAGATAAGTACTACTTTGTTCCCTGTGAAAAGTGAACCGGTCGAAATTCTAATTAATATCCAATCACGTATTAGAGATTCGTCGGAGATTCAATTTCTAATTGGGTAATGAATTTGAAACTTAAAACTTCAGCTATCCGTTACAAGACTCGAAAGTCTGAGAGAAAAAAAACACCTGCTATTATATATCTCGCTGTATTCGCTCAATAAAGATAGCCAAATCCATTGATACGTGATTTAAGAAGCGTCTTGAGCAACGTGTTGCCCAGAAAAAAGAAGAGAAAAAAACAGACGAGAGGAGAAAAAAAAAAATCGCTAATCTCTGATCTTCGAATACATTAGAAGCGAGCATGTCGACGAACAGACGCGCGGCGTCGACCGTCCAATCATGGAAAAACTTTCACCGCGTCGCGGCTAAAAATACAGGCCGCATTATTTCCTCGTTATTCCTCCGGCAGCATGGAAACCGATACGAAATAAAAGTCTCTCGGCTGTCTCCAGCACTCACGTGGTAAAAATAACCACGAAATTTCTGTGTCCACGCAGAAATATGCGTGTGTGTGTGTGTGTTGAATAGTGTGTTTGTAGCGAGAAGAGAGAGTGTGAGCCAAGCTTTAGCCTACACACCGCGGGCACAGAGGCCGACATTGCGATCGCGATGCTTACTCTTGCGTGGCGTATCGAAGTACATAAATAAACGGGCGCAAAGCTCGTTTCCTGCACCTTTCGACGTGCCTCCACGACCACACCGCTCGTTATTACGCGTTTCGACCTGTTCCGCCCAAAGTGGGAGCCGTGTCCCACACTCTGCACCGGAGAAGCATCGACGGAACCCTCCCCAATCTCGCGATAATCACCGAAAGGGTTAACTCTTCGTTAGCAGCTTTTTCGAGAAAAGTCTCGTGAGAGGTGTTTTATCTCCGCGACTCCGAGAAATCGATCTCTTCGTTCTGTTTCTTTTTTTTTAACATGTAAAATTCTTAGGATTTAATGAATTATTCCATCTGTGCTGATTTGAGAAATTTTTTGGGTTTCCTTTATTCCCCCAATTTGCTTCTATTTTCTATTGTTTTCGTAGGATACTAAAAACGAACCATTCCATCTGTGCTGATTTGAGAAATTTTCTGAGGATTCCGTATTACCCCAATTTGCTTCTATTTTTTAAGCACCAAAGTTCGTTAATAAAGAAAAATTCTACATTGAAATAGTCACAAAGACGACCTTAAAACGTGACATCGAAAGAGTAGACAGTTTCCATCCCCTAACATCGATACGAACAGCACCGTGGTACGAAAGAGGTCAGAACGAGGACCACTCCGAAATTCCCAGGAAAAAGAATACTCCACCCTGAGCTTCCCACCATCCCCGAATAATTACCAACGTAACAGCGATTCATCTTTGACGTAACTTGTTATTTCCACGTAGAGCCGGATACGTGTGCATAACCCTGCTGATACGATCGACCACGGTTATTTCGACGATTCCCAGAGAAGAAGGAAGGTCTCTCCTGGCCCTTTCCATCTACGCGCCTTACGGTTGCAGGTTGCAAAAGAGCGGTGGTGGTGCGCGGGCTGGTTTGGCAGAAAAAGGGGAGAGAAGGGACCTCTCTTCGTAACGTGGAGGATGAGAAAGAAGCAGCAGCAGAAGAAGAAGAAGAAGAAAAGAAGGAGGAGGAGGAAGGTGCATCGCGAAGAGAAGAGAGATAGGGAGGATGAGGAGGAAGGGGTTAGGGGGAGGAGAAGGTTTCTCGATCGCGAGCGAATTCTTCTCACGGTTGCGAGAGCGCAGTTTCGTCGGCGGACGCGTGGGCGGACCGGCGAATAATGCCGGTCTTGTATTTTTAAACCCTCGCACGAATCGGCATCTCTCCAAGGGGGGAAGCAGGGAGGAGAGGGAGGGAGAGAAAGAGAGAGAGAGAGAGATGCCGGGTCACTCTGTGCACGTTGCAACGGCTCCCGCTGCAGCCGGAGCCACCTTTCTCTTTTTCTTCTTCTCTTATTCCAAGAGGAGAGGAGGAGGTTCGAACCGGCGAAAACGATCTCACGGTCCCCCGTGCCTGTGCGCGCGCGCGCTCACCAGCGCGACCGAGAGCGCGAGAGAGCACACAGGGCCCGCGACCGCGCACGCCGATCCTCCAATGAATTATCGAGCCTTCCAGACCGTGGAACGCCGCCGCGCGCTGACCGCCCGCAGGAAAAAACCTGAGACAGCGGGCCCCGCGATATTCGGGCCCCCGGACCTTACTTTTCGGACGCTGCACAAGGATTCGACGCGGAGGACGTGGGAATCTTCGGCCCCGGCTACCGTAATTAGGACCTGATGCTTTCGGGATCTGTACACGCTCGGAGATTTTCGTGCGCTCCGCTCGCAGGTGGGAAGATACGAGGGAAGTGGAAGGGTAGCTTTAATTTTATATTAAACAAGGCTTCCCGAAGAAACATTAGTCAATTCTAAAATAAGTATTGTAGGAACTTTTGGGTACGGAGGCCATAATTTCTCTGAAATATTCCGAAACACTTTCCATCCCTAACTGTGAGGGCAGTTTCCAATGGTCCCCTCAAACTTTACTCATAAGTAACACTAAACCCTCCCCTTCATACTTAAAAAAACACTTCCCTGTGAAGCAATGAAAAAAAAAAAAAGATTGCAAGAGAATCTCACCTCGTCAAGGGCCATGGAGAAGGCGCCAGAGATGGCAAGGCCCTGACGGTCCTTTAAGCCGCCCTTAATGGCGGTGAGGTATCCAATGGTAAGATTCTGCTGCTTCCTCGGTTGTATGGCCCTGGTGAAGCTCGATTTCGGGTAAGTTTGCCTGGAGAGCGCCTGCTGCCACTCGGCCCCGGGTAATCCTGGCGGCTCGGCCAGGCCCAGGACCAGAGGGCTGCTGGCCAGCAGCAGCAACACCAGCAGGGCCCGCAAGCTGCTCCCTAACGAGCGTGGCCGCAGCGGATGCAGCTGATCTTGCCGGTGCCGTCGATTGCGTTCCTGAGGGACTTCCTGGCGACGGGGAGGCCTGCGGCGGCTCGGC